TTGCCCTAAAGTATGGGCAGTTTGAGGGTTGGGTTATCCTACCGATGGGTATTCTAATGTTTGAAACATTTGATCGACCCCAAATTGGCCCCAACCTACGGGACATCCCTAAACAAATGTGAGCATTTTGAACTCTACATAAAATTTAGGAAAATACTCCAATACCATATTTGATTCACATTAGTAACTTGAATTTCGGTAAAAACTGGGAAAGGCTATTTCTAGCTTCTGCAATTAATGATCCTGATAATAAAAAAAGTCAAGTCTAGCGAAAACAAAATTTTCCAAATATACTCCCATTAAACAAAGGTAACCCATATTACGAAACAGGAAAATAGAACACTTTTTTGATTAGCGTTGCAATGGTCTGCAAGACCCGGCCCTAAAAAAAGTAAGGCCTCACCCAAAAAATGTGGGCTGGCAGGGCGGGGCTTGGGCCAAGACCACAACAGAGCCCGCTGGGCTTGGCTTTCTATTTTTTTACATTTTTTATTTTGCTATTTTATTCTACCTAGGCCAGTTCAGCCACAATACGGTTACAGCTAGGCTTCAGCCAAGGTCTATTTGGCTCGGTCGGCGCTAGGCTGGTCTTGGGGGAGCTCTTTGGCTCACAGTATTTTCTTGTAAGAAATGTTGAACAAGACTAATCACCCACTTGGCCAATCAAGATCGGTAGTTCAGATCTAACAAAGCCATTGTTCAATGATGATTCTAAAACCAAGCAATAAAAAAAGAGAATCAGGCGAGACCCGGGGGGTCATCGACGCTGACAATACATCAAATAAAAGAATATGGGCAATGACGATTAGGGGATCCGAAGGAAAAATAAAAAAGAAAAGAAAAGAAAAGAATATGAGGGAGAGAGAAGAATGAAGCAGGAGTGGACTTAAGGCAGAAGAGGGAGTAAGGGGTGGGGATGTGTCTTTGGCCTGCAGCCAGCCTGCAATAAATGCATTTTCGCGACGCTTCGATGGCAGTGAGAGGCGCTCTCTGTTCACTTTCTCACTCTAAAATTTCCCAAAATTCATCATATGACAACACCATTCAGTTTTTGCTTTTGAGTTGGTTGATTTTACTGGAAAGATGGGTGGGCGTATCAGAATAAAAAACTTTTAGGGTTGGTCTGATGCAACAACTAATGAAGCTCAGTAAATATTGCAGATAGGGTTTTGTCATTTTGGAATGTCCAGTTGCATTCTCCTCTTTTCCCCTCTCTGTGCCTCACTTTTGTCTTTAGATTTGCTTTGCAGTCACGTGAATCTCTCTGTACACAATCTCTACTTTCCTCTTTTATGCCCTCATCTCTCTCTCTCTCTCTTAAAACTCGTTGGAATAACAACTTTTGATGCTAAGTTTCTCTCTCTCTCTCTCTCTCAATGAAGTCCTCTTGGAGTCTTGGATCTGACCACCCCAAAATTGGTTGATCAATCTTAAAACATTAGTTCCCTCAGGCACATAGAGAGTATAATCACTTAGCTTGTAATCTTTGTTTAATAGGCACCTAAAACTCAATGATCCAAAAAGAGAAACAAAAGGCACCTAAAATTCAGCATGTTTTAAGGAAATCACCATATCTGTTCTTCTATTTTTTTGTTTTTTTCACAAAAAATATTCCCTCTATGAGATAGAATGTTGGGCGGACAAAAAAATAATATAGTTAGAGTGAGTGTAGTGGAGATAAGGATGTTGAGATAGATTAGTGACAAAATAAGAAAGGATAGAATTAGAAATGAATCAATTTGAAAACTTTGTGTGGCGCCAATAAACAATAAGATAAGAGATAGTAGATTTAGGTGGGCTGGCCATATGCAGTTAAAAACTAGTACAACACTTGTTAAGATGTACGAGTTAGTTCAAATAGAAGGCTCAAAAAAGATAAAGAATATGCCTAAGAGGACGTAGTCAGAAGTTGTCCGAAAAGATATGAAAACTTATGGCCTCACTGAGGGTACGACACGTAATAGAACAACATGGAGAACCATAATTCATGTAGCCGACTCCAATTATTTGGATAAAAACTATAATGTTGATAATGATATTGGTAAATTTTTAACAAAAGATCATTGTGAAAAGTTAAATGTATTTTTATATGATGTCAATAGTATTATTCTTAAAAGGTGTTCTTTTCACTTCTTTCCTTAATATTTGGGTGAGCCATACATACAGTAGATAGCCCATGCTCCGTCTATCCAATCTTTTTGTAATGTAGGTAACCCTTTACATTTATAATCATGAGAAACTATGTACAAGGGATTGAGGCTCCATGCAATATCATTAAAGGGGTTAAAAAATTTTAAATTATATTTGAAGTGTATGCTTGTAAAATTCAATATCAATCACGTACTTCTTTAAAATAAAAAGTCAAAAAACTCCTTAAATCCAAAGAGACTTTTACCCAATGATAATTATGGGTCAAATTACTATAAGTACTCCTAATTGTTCTAGCTTCTTATCACCTCATTGAGGCAATTTTTTTTAAAAAAAACTCAGTTTTTTCTTGAGGACTTAATATAGTAATTTAAAATTGTATCATTAAGTGTAATTCATAACCTTTTAACCCCATAGTGGTATTGTAAGGGGCTTCTACTTCTTTTTTGATATTTTCTCTTTTAATATTAGTTGGAATACAAAGTTTAGTGTTTTTTTAATACCATGGTGATCACGACTGACTCGACCAGCCGAACCAATCAGTCTGACAACTAACAAATATCTTGTGTGGTCTAATCTAAAAAATTAAAATTTGAAATAATTTTGGTTAGTCGAATCAATCAAGATTGACTTAGTCGGTTTAGCTAAAGAAATCTGAGTGATTTGTACAAGGCAGCAACCTTAAACAATCCAAGTAAGACGCGCCTCTAAATTATGCTTAAAGATGAAGTCTTGGTACTGGTAAATTTTATGATGGCCTAAAAAAATTATTTGTCCCTAATTATGAAATTTAAGGCTCTTATGGTGTAGATCGAATAGATTTATAAACACTGGAAAATAGATTGCCCAAATATTGTGCTACAAAATGCCATCTCTCTCTCTCTAAGTTCACTAATTTTTGTATTCTCTCTTTCTCTACTTGTGTCTTCTGTAATCTCCTGATATCGCTTGTGAAATCCCCATGTGCCATGGAACGTGAAGCTCGAGCAAGTTTCCAGCGACCTCTGCAACAAAATCCGGCTGCTCTTTTGTTTGATCCCGAATACAATTCGGAAAATGTCAATGAAGGATGTGAAATCAGGGTTTCAAGAAGCTCAAATGATCATCCAAACAATCGCACAAGAAAACCCTTCCCTAAAACTATGATCAATACCATAGTTACCGGGAGTGCCCAACTAGGGTGGCGCTTCTGCTCTGGGACCCAGCTTCGACGCTCCGTAGCCGGGATCTCGACTGGAACTCATTCCTTACTTTTTGGGAGCTTGCTTCTATTTTTAGGATTCTCGATCCTGTTCACAACGGATCTCGCTCCTATTTTTAGGATTCTCGATCCTGTTCACAACAGAGCTCGCTCTAGATACTGCACGGAACGAGTTCCTTAAATTTTAGGATCTCATTCCTGAGTAAATTAGATACCCGCTCTCAGAGTTTTCGGAGCACAATTCCTACTTTTATGGAACTCCATCCCTATTTTTCCGAACATCCTAAAAAAAACTTCTTAAATAAAAATTATTTTTAAAATAAAATAATTATATTTTAAGCTAAATTTTTATTAAAAGTAGAGTTTTGCGATAGAGTGTGGACTAATCATGCACAGAACCCGATTCTTCCTTGAATGGAGCTCGATCCATTCCAAATAGGAACATAGTTATTCTTAGATGGGGGTGCGATTTTGTTGTCGATGGGAGCACAATCCTAATGAATATGGGAACACAATCCCACTTGACATGGAAAGCGTTCCCGTTAATAGGGATATCGATCCCGATGTATTGGAAACGCGCTCTCTATTTATACGGGATCTCGATCCGCTACTTTTACCTTCACTTGAACTCGCTCTCCAAACTCCGGAGCTTTGGGCAGATGTCGCTCCGACGCTCCAGCTCCCGAAACCGAAGCCGTTCCCGCTCCCGCTCCCAATAACTATGATCAAGACACCAAAGGTCGAACCAGTTGAGGAGTGTGATCTTGAAAATCATGCCACTAGCTTATAGGATCTGCTTTTTTAGAACCCCACAAGCCCTTCTAGTGGCGAACTGATAAACCCTTTTAATGGCGAAAGGAGCAAACCATGATTGAGTTTCAGGCTTGCTCGATCAACTCTCTCTAGAGAGTGCCTTAGAAACCCAGGTGGCATATTATTCAATCCGCCTCATTGTTTGAGTTTAAGTCATTTCTCCACTTTGCATGAAACTATGCAAACAAATTCTTTCACATGCTTTTTCTCCGATTCAGGTTTTGAGTTCAGAGAGAGAAAAGTTATTGCTTCACAGTTTTTACAAAGAACAGGCCATATCGAGTGTTTATCGAGTGTTGTTATTGTCAAATAGGAGGGCAATATAGGCCAAAAAAAAAAAAGCCGAAGGTGTTTTTCATAATTTATAAAAAATCATCAAATGATAATAAAGGCCCCCAAACCATATCGATACATAGACGGCTCAAAAAAAAAAAACTTCAGCTAAAAAATCAATCAAGTGTAGCGATTTGATTGGTAAGTAGCCAGTTTTCACTCAAACCCCTCCACTTATCAGTTTAGGCATTAGTCAGATTATGCTAACACAACTTTTATCAGTTTAGGCATTGGTCAGATTATGATAACACAACTTAATACTTGCCTTTGTTAACAGCATAGCCTTTTTATAAGAAAAATTCCAAGATTCAAACATCACACTCTCTCAAATATGGCATCAACATAACAGAGGGAAAGGATTCCAGAATTGTATATTCGTCTTTAACGCAGTCTCTCTCCACGGATAAGGGATAGATTAGTCATTTCTCACAAGTCCACAGAGATAAGGGATATATTAGTCATTTGTCACAAGGCCAAAGGGATATATAGGCACAGCTACATACTTGAGTAAAGGGATCAAGAAAGAGAGAAAGAAAGGCTTTTACACACTTTTCCCTAACTACCCTTATTCTCTCTCTCTAACTCTTCTTGTTCTCTCTCTCTCTAGGGCTCTGTTGTCTCCCATGACCCCCAATTACCTCAGGCCACACTCCTTCTCTTCAGCTCAACCCCATGAACTCTCATGGAGGCAACAGCCTAATAGAGAAGAAGAAGAAGAAGATGATCAAGCAGGTGAAAAAATGGTGCACCCCCATGAGGGCCACCTCAATATCACGGTAGAGACCCAAGCACTTCACCTTCATCCTCATAAACAACATCAGTTTCATCTTCTTCACTCCTCAAAACTTCAATTCCAAAGAAAAAACTGTCAAAAGATTGAGGAAGAAGTGGAGGAGTCTTATGAGTACAGTCGAAAGGTCCATGGATCTTCCACTCAAACGTCTTCGATGGGTTTTGTAAGGACCTGCTCGGATTGCTACACCACCAAGACACCGTTGTGGCGAAGTGGGCCTCAAGGTCCCAAGGTAAATTTCTACTGACCTCTCTCTCTCTTTCTCTCCAATTGTTCTTGATCCCGATCACTAAGATTGTTTTAAGATCTCTGCCCCCGCTCTCTCCGTTTAATCCTGCTCATGATCACTTAAATTTTTTAGGTTTTTAGGTTTTCTCTCACTTCCTTCCTCCCTCCCCCCCCTCTCTCTCTCTCACACACACACAACACAACTGTTCTTGCTCGTGATCAGTATTTCAAGATCTCCCCCTCCTCTCTCTCCAGCTAATCTTCATCGTGATCACTGAAATGGTTTTTGATCTCTTCCATCCTCGGACCCCAGAAAAAACTAAAAAAAATATAGCTACTCTCCCTCAACTGGCTTTCCTTTTTACTGTTATTCCTGATCATGATCATTTAGGTTGTTGGGTTCATCTCTCTCCATCTCTCTCTACCCCGTCGCCCACCCCAATTGATCATGATCATGATCACGACGATGGTTATGATCCTCACTCATCCCTCTATCTCCTCTTCTTGGTCTTGATCAGTGTCATCGATGCACTTAAGATCACCACCACTAAAAAATTTTAGCAGCTACGGTTTGTAATGCTAAACTGATTTTGAACTGCCTCTTTCCCCTCGTTCAGTCTCTTTGCAATGCTTGTGGGATTCGACAGAGAAAGGCAAGGCGAGCAATGGCAGCTGCCATGCAAAAAGAGTTAGACAAGGAGAAGAGAATGGACCCCAATTTCACCACCACAACCGCTGCGACCTACTACAAGAAGCGAAGCAAAAAGATAACCGCACAACGACATGCTCCAAAGAAGAGGCTTTGCTTCGAGGAGGAGGAAGAGTCAGATTATGATGAAACATTAGCACAATCCTCTCCTACACTTCCCCCTCGTGATCGCGATGTGGATTTACGAAAGGGATCAGCGTTTCATCGAGTTCTCCCACAAGACGAGGAAGAAGCTGCCATCTTGTTAATGGCACTTTCATGCGGCCTACTTCATGGTTGAGTTCTGTCAAAGAAACCATCTCTACCATACATAGATCAGATTGATTCGATGCGAGAGTGGAACGTATGGATCACTAGGCAAAATAAGTTTATCTATCCACAGGAATTAAGATGCTCTTGTGGAAAGCCACAGAGCCAAATCCCTTTGTTTTGAGGAGTGAGGAATAAGGAGGGATAATTCGCCATTGTTATTTCATTAGGTTATGTCCTTTCTCTTTGTTACTGTCTTGTTTTTTTTTTACATTTTTTTCTTTCTGTTTTCCCCTTTTTTTTTTGGCCTTGTTTGAGAGAGAGAGAGAGACTATGTTTATTTGCCCAAACTGGGTAGTAAACTAAATGGATTGGTGATGCCATGTCAATATTGTAACCAGGGAGTAATTAGAATGTGAGCATTGCCTTCCATTTTTGATGTTAAAGAGTTTTGAGGCATATTTATTGTCCATAAATCCCCTTAACTAATCCATTACCACCCCCCCCCCCCCCTCCTCTCTCTCTCTGGTTTCATGACCGTTTTCTATGTCGACAATTGAAATATGCTGGGTTCACTAGATACCACTCTCTCACTCCCTCTTAAAGTATGAAAGGTCATGCTTTACTTGTCTTAAGTTGAGCTATCCCTGGTTTAGCATTTACTAGACTCTCTCTCTCTCTCTCTCTCGTTTTGACCCAAGGCTGTTCCGATAGATTGACCCAACAGTTCAGACAGGTTTTCAGCCAACATTGTTGTTGCAGAATGCGTGGCGACATGATTTGATGCGCCCAAAAACTGAAACCTATTTTCCGTTCTAACAACTTCCACGATAAGACCACAATGGTGAGTGGGGTAAATTTTTCTAGAATCCCTTTAATTGCTCTACCTCCTCTAGTTTTTGTCTCATAATATCCTCACAATTATTTAATGTATATCTTCGCATTTCCTTTTATTCTCACACCGCCACGTTGATAGGTATGACAATATTTTCGTGAAAAATATTTTCTGTGAAAATTACTTTACACACATTTGGTACGCGACAAATACATATACATTTTTTCTCATGATAAATAATTTTACCACAAATTGGCAAATTCATGTGAAATTAGAACTGCGTCTCTTGAAGAAGGGAAATATTTCTACTGATTTATTTTCACACACTGGAGTTACCTACTTTGTCAAATATAATTAATTCTGCCAAAACAATCCCACGAATTAGAGATAAAAACTATATCAAATTTTAACCTTAAAACGAGAACTTAAATTTTTATAAAGATAAACTATACATAAATTCATTATCTGGGTATATATATTCAAGTTTCCTTTTTTTTCCTCATATCAACTCATCATTAACAACGTTTAGAACTCTCACTCTATCGTCAGCCCCCCCACCCCCCCCCCCCCNCCCCTCCCTCCTCCT